GGAAATCCCATCAATTACTGCCTGCTTAACTACAGCCTATGTAATGCAGGGTCAACCTGGTGAGTTTATTTATTATCACAGACAAAAGGTCTATTCTCTTCTATACAAGTATAAAACTAAATACATCTATAATTCAGGCTTGGCAGGACTCCAAGTTTCTGCTGGCTAAGAGATAATGGAATTAAAGAGGATAATTTATTTTGCAGAAGCACTGACTTACAGCTTAAATATTTTGAATCATATATGGGAGAGGTTCTCAAACTGTTTTATACTGTCGACATTTGTTAAGGCGGAGATCCTCTTTTGCACTATACCTCCACCCATCTTCCCAATCCTGACTCCAATCCTTTCCTGTGGCTATTACAAGCCTGTGCAAATGTCAAAGCCCCTTATGACAGCAGTTTTTGCATTGATTTAGGTGTTCAGTTGAGCGCACACCAGGCTTGGTTACATTAAAGAGCAATAATGTAGGGAAGTATTAGGCAGCTATAAACTCATTGCAATGTGATGTATGTGGCCGTTTTGTTGCAATAGAGCCCTAGCCCCATTATATCTGTATTTACTTTCCCTGGGAATTGTATAGAATCATAGAAATTGTAAGGCTAGACATATTACTATCAAATGTTTTACCATGCTGCCTGAAGCCATGCCTTTCTCTAGTCTAATCTTTTACATTTCGGCTGCTTGTTTGAATCTAAACCTGGTCAATATGGACCAAAAATTATTTGGCTTATATTAACTGAGTTAGAAGCTGCAGTATGTGGGGTGGGATCACCCTGTCGTAGAGGTGGGCACTGCAGACTAACGCTGGCTTAAGGAAGGGAGCAGCTACTTGGGATTGGGTCTGAATGCAGTGGGATGCAGGGGGAGTCAGACAGGGGCAGGGAGTGGGGCACAGAAGGGGAGTATGGGTTGGAGGTGCTGTATGGGCCAAGGAGAGTGTTTGGAGGGAGAAGGACGAAAGGGTGCAGATGGGGCAGAGGGAGTGAGGCACTGGAAAGGGGAGTGTTTGGAAGGGAAAGGGAGAGGGACCCACTGGGCGTTAGGGACAGGGATTGTGTGACAGCATACAACTTTTCAGAACAGGTTATCATTCAGGATTTATAAATGTATTGTAACACAGAGATATATGATACCATTGGCTGTTTGCAAAGTTGTCTCGTTTGCTTTTCTTATTTTCATAATCTGGTGATGTTATTAAACAAATGAAAACTTTTTATTTCATTTGCGTGTCCAAGATTGCACCTATTTTCACACAAAACAGCAAAATCATTTTAAGGGAAAGCAGACTCATTGAGAACTTGTAATATTTGGTCCTTTCTTAAAAGAATGGTTGACATATAAGTCTAATATGAAAAGCCAGAAAGAATAATTTATTTCTTCTTTACATTTAAAGTTTTGAAGTATATCATGTAATTTCATTTTAGACACGCTATAATTGTCAAATTATTTTTCATTTTCATTTTTAGAACACTCCTGTTAGGGCCATCAAAGTTGCTAGAGAAAAAACAATAGTTTTAAGTTGGGAGATCAACAGTAGGCCAAAAGTTCTGTAAATGTAACAAGGTAGCTATTCCACAAACAGTCTGGTAGAAGGCATAGCAAAACCTTTTTCATGCCCTATGTGACATTTGATAGCACAGATTCAGATTATAAAATATATTTAACAGGGCCTCCTCCTACTTATTCTAAAATCAATGCCACAGGCTTAAATGGGAGCAAGACTGGACTCCTACTTAGCAAATTTCAATATAGGGAACATCAAGAGATCTCACATCATGCTGCGAGCTAATTTATAGCCATTGTTTTAAAACCGAAGCCATTCATACTAGTAGGATTAGAAAGATTGCAGCCAACCATGGTAAACATAATAAAAATAGTTTAGAACCAAATCCTCTCATGTGAGTAATCCTAAACTGAGCCACTTTATATTTTGAGAAGGGGTTCATTGAGGAGGCAGGGAAAGGAGATGAATTTACTTTTCTGAGGCTTGCCTTCTTGTTTCTTTGGGGGAGAAGAGGAGTATTATGTGGGATGCACCTGTGTTGCAGCCCAAATTATATCTCCAAACCCACCTATCTCCACTAGAAGCCACAGGATACTACCAGGGAAGAGGCTTGGCTGGGTACTTCAGATGGAACACTCCTTATTGTACACAGGAAGATCACTTAATGGAAGATAATGCAGGCTCACACATCTTGGGGAGACAAACTGAACTACAATGCTAACGTAGCCAGGGGACTAAAAGTATGGACTCAGTTTGAGATAGATCCTGCTGGCAAGCTTTACTATGCCATTTTACCAATTCCCATCAATCTTAACCAGCTTTCTGGTCATGGGCAAAAAACAAAAGCCTTCAGATTAGGGAAAACTGTGTATTGGTTTTATTATTGTATCAAAAATGTTCTCTAGAGAATATGATGAGAGTGCCAAGTTGGCTGACCATGATTTGAAGCATCGGGTAAAAAAAGCATATACATGCACAAGGCCAACTAGCCATCATTATAGTTGTATACTTACATACAGTTTATAAGTAGGCAAAGTAATTTTGCACCTAAGCTAGTCTTTTATATCACATTTCAGAATAGCATTTTAAAGTCATATTATTAGTTCTGAGTGCTTCGAAACCACACCAGTTCAAATACATATGCTCAAAAAGAAGCTCTGAGAGAACAATACATGCATTCATATTCATAGCATAGTGCAATGATTATGTGCAAGGGGTTAAAAATAAGGTTGCTGTGGAAACCTTAAATCAAAATGTCTTGATCTTTAATATACCAAACACAAAGTTGCAAAAATGATTGAATCAGAAAGGAGCGGACTAAAGCCCTGGCTCCAGTTACCATAAGCATTGTCATTCATGTCTGACACTAGGATCATGATACAGACTGAAATTTTGTGCCTTGAGCCCTCTCTATTTATAAATATAAAGCTTAAAACTGTAACTGTTTTGCCCTTCACTCAGAGAGGGACAACTGTCACAGACATGCCACTGAGGAATGTGATGGTGTGTGCTAGGGTTTTTGTGGATAACTTGAAAGTGCAATTAAAGAAGAAAACTAATCTCTCTCACAGTCTGTGGCAATATCATCAGAATAGAAGAGCAACCTGAAGTGCAAAGACTGACAGGGTGAACACAGAATGACACTGCCTACCAGCATCAAAAATGGGGAAAGTAAAACCACAGCGAGGAGAATGCAAAGATTCATGTTACACAGAGCTGCCAAGTAAAGCTTACTTCTTTAACCAAAGAACTTTCAGACTTTGTAAGACACTAGTAGTATAGATGTAAAAAAACCCCAAAAAACCCAACCCCCCAATGGCAGTGCAGTTTGTAGGTGCCTATAAAAAAACCCCCAAAAAAAACCAACCCCCCAATGGCAGTGCAGTTTGTAGGTGCCTGTTTTAAATGAACAGTCTGTGACAAAAAGGCAAACTGATGGCCAATCTGATAAGAGGAGCAAATCAAGGATTACCGGATCATGTGGAAACCCACAATGCCTGCAGGTGGGAGGAATACTACTATGCAAAGCACATGGTTCCGTGGGGGAGGCAGGAAACCCTCCAAGACATTTTCCCCCACTGCATTTGTTTTCAACCCTCCTTTGTGTTTTCCTGGCCCTTTGGGGAATCTCTCAGCCTCTCTCCTTTCCCGATCCTGGAGCTGGGTGTATTGCTCTTTCAATCTAGATACACTCCCTTCCCCCCACCCCCATCCCATCCCAAAGGTTGCACTGTCAATTGGTGTCCAGGCTCTTCCTGCATCTCTTTGTGATGGTGTCAGAGATTGCAAGGGCCCTGGGGAGTTTGGGGTGTGTGTGTGTCCCCTGTGGGAGAAAAGATATGACAGGAGCAAGAGAAGGAAAGTTTCACAGGAGGACCCAATGAGTGAAGATGCTAGGTGCAGAGGTTGGGGATGGGGGGAGAGCAGATGAGCCTCTTAGGAAAAAGAGAAGTGGGGATAATAGTAACTGTAAGGGGAGAATAGTGATAGAAATGTAGCCGTGTTAGTCTGGTGTAGCTGAAGCAAAATGCAGGACAATGTAGCACTTTAAAGACTAACAAGATGGTTTATTAGATGATGAGCTTTCGTGGGCCAGACCCACTTCCTCAGATCAAATAGTGGAAGAAAATAGTCACAACCATATATACCAAAGAATACAATTAAAAAAAAGAACAAATATGAAAAGGACAAATCACATTGCAGAACAGGAGGGGGATGCAGGAGGGGGGGAAGGAAGGAAGGTAAGTGTCTGTGAATTAATTATATACATATGTGTTAATTTTTTTAATTGTATCCTTTGGTATATATGGTTGTGACTATTTTCTTCCACTATTTGATCTGAGGAAGTGGGTCTGACCCACGAAAGCTCATCATCTAATAAACCATCTTGTTAGTCTTTAAAGTGCTACATTGTCCTGCATTTTGCTGTAAGGGGAGAGGCAGCAGGAGGTTTGTAAGAGGGAGTGTTGAGGGAGACCATGGAGGGATTTGGAGTCCCAATGGGGAGTTCAGATGGGGCCGGGGACCCCATCAGTGGCTTGAGGAGGCAGTGGTGAGGAGGGCAGGGCCGCGGGATCAATGTTTAGCGTAGGGATGCTGGAAATCATTTAACCGAACTGCAATGTAAAGCCTTTATAAGGGAAACCGCTTACATCTGAGGGGATGGGGAAGGGGGGAGATAGTTCCATCTCCAGGCTGCTTATTGCCTTCCATGCTCCGACTCCCCCAAAGGGGGGCGCCCAGGGGAGCGGGCGGGAGGAAGCGGCACTGGCCCCCCACGGTTGCCTGGCGGGGGCTCCTGAGGCGGGTGAGGCTACCCCGTCCTGCGAGGGAGCTTGTGTGTGGGGGGGGCCCTAAGGGTCCGCACCCCGGGGAGATGCCAAAGCAGGTTGCAGCGATTCACTGCCCCTGCCCGCTGCCCCCCTTTCCCTCTCTCCCGGGGAGCCGCGCGGCTCGGCTCTGGGGGCAGGCACCTCTCTCCGCTCCGCTGCTCCGGCGCGAGCCGGCCGGGGGGAGGGTGTGTGCGCGCCGCGGGAGGTGGGGGCAGGATTAGAGCGAGGCAGCGGCCCCGCCCTCCCGCTTCACACTGGGACCGGCTCCGAGGGGGAGATGGCCCGGGAGAGGCGGCACTGGCACCATGGCATTCCCCAGCCTGCTCGTGGCGCTGATTCTAGGGACGAGCCCCGCAGCGGGCAGCTCTGACACGGCCTCGCTGAACCCTCCCTTTGCCCCCGCGCACGGACAGCGCCGCCCGCCTGGCCAGCATCCCCACCCTCCGCCCCGCTCGCCCCCCGGCTGCCCTGGAGGCCAAGGGCCAGGGGGGCGCTTTGTCAACGTGACCGAGTTCGGGGCCGAGTGCCTGCCCTGGGCGGAGGTGCCCGCTTTCCTGGAGAAGACCCCCCAGGGCAGGGGGCTGCTGGGCCAGCACAACTTCTGCAGGAACCCCGACGGCAGGAGCAGACCCTGGTGCTTCTACAGGAGCAGCCGGGGCAGGGTGGACTGGGGCTACTGCGACTGCAAACAAGGTGAGCGCGCGCGCGCGCGTGTGTGAGCGCTGCAATAGCAGGAGCAGCAGGCACCCGCGGCTCCAGCCTGTGCTCAGCCGGATACCGGTGGAGAGGGCTGGATCGATCGCACGGCGGGGGTGTGGGTGCAAGCCGGGTGTATTGCTTGCTTGTCGAGATTGCTGTGCCGTGCGAGTGGAGGGGGGAAAGGAGCGATGCGTGTAACAGCTGCTTGTGGGCTCCGCCGTGGCCGTTTAGTTGGTATGCGCGAGTGGGTGGACGGCCGAAAGGAGCGTGCATTGGAGGGCTGGTGTGTGTTTTGTCTGGGTCGGTGTGTGCCCGCACTGGGTGCCTTTGGCGTGTATTGAACTCCTTTCCCTGGGAACACACTGGCTATACTGTAACCGAATGTAACACTGCTAAGCTTCTACGGGTGCAAGTGATCATTTCTGTAAAGGCGGTTTTGGCAGAGCCATATTTCACTAGAAAGGAATTTTGTACAGGTAGATCATGACTTTCCTTTTGTGTGTCTTAGCTAAGCTGAACCGTATTTCATTTTCACCCTACTGTGGGTGAGGTTAACACCAATTTTCCTGCTAACAGACTGCTCAGGGCAGAGGAAATTAAAAAAAAAATCTCTTACAAAAGTGACAGGTACATAAGCGATACTCTGATCGGTTTTTACCTTTAAGACATCTGTACACTCGTTTGGAAGCATAAAAAGGTCCTTCTGTGTTCCTACTTCTGGTAATATATTTCTTATACTCTTTGAACTGAAAAGTTATATCAAGTATACTACTAATTCAATTTACAATAATCTCTTTTTTGTAATGTTCATGCACTTCTCTGGAAATCTAAGAAAAATAGAAAGGAATTGCTTTAATCAGGCAGTTTGCAGCGCTTCTCTTTCAATTTATTTTTTAAATCTTGGAAAAATTGGGTGCACAGATTAATGCTGCTGCTAGACAACTTGTATGCATGTAACTCAAAGGGCCTTATTGCATGTTCTTATTTATTCACAAAACTCCCATTGATTGAGGAGGGATTTTAGCAGATCAGTTATAAATTTCCCCACATCCAGTAGCATTCCAGGGGTGGTCACATTTGTACATGGATAATCAGATCTTTAATTATTTCCATAGCCGTAAACATTTCATTCTGAATCAGTGGTTCTCAAACTTTTTGGCCAATGGTCCACTCCACACAATGCAGTCCTTTCTGCAAACCACCAGCCAGTCACTTATGGGTGCAGGATGGTATGGGGTGCAGGGTCTGGCCAAGAGGCAGGGTGCAGGAGAGGGCTGTAGGTGGGGGTCTGGGCATGAGGAGGATGGGAGATGCTTACCTGGCTCCGTGCTCCCACTTGGCTGTGATTCCGACCAATTGGAGAAGCAGGAAAAGCCTCCTGGTAAGTGTTTTCTGTGCTGCTGTTCCTCCAGCCAGTGGAGGGGAGCAGTAGCATACAGAGCTGCTTCTCCACAAATTGGATATCGACCACGAGGTTCATCCTCCCTGCAGTGGGAAGCCAGTGCTGGCACTCCAACTTCATGGTGGGGAGGGGGAGAGAGACATGGACCTGGACTGCCAGTGCAGGTTCCCCACTGCAGGTGGTCAAGCCCCAAGCCCACCTGCAAAAGTACCACAATTTGAGACTCACTGGGATCATACTAATCTTTTTCCTGTTTATATCCATTTCCTCCAAAATAAGTTCAAACTATTGTGAAGAAATAAAAGAAAAAAGTAGCTAGCCTGTTGTACAAGTTCCCTTATATATCATTTGCATAATTATAGTGTAGGCACAGAAGTATATTTTTTTATTTTATTTTATTAGGATTTTGTTATGCTTTTCTTTAAGGATTGATTTTCCTTTCAGATCCCAAAACCAAAGTAACTGAGATTGGTTTTCTCCAACAATAATTCCAGTGTGTGTGAGAGCAGCTGGGAATGAGAAAGAGAAGGTGATATGAATTATGAGATAATTGTATTTATTTCTATGATCCATTATGCAAAATGTATGTGGAACAATAACAGCTGCATTGCTTATTTATACATTAATAAAAGTAATGGACTTTTTTCATCCGCCTATCTGAAATTTATGTTCAATATCAAGCATAATTTTCTGTACTCCTACAATAAGATAGTGGTTCTGTGTTACAGATATTTCCTTGGGGAGAGTATCAGGCAGCTAATGTCAGAAGAGAATTTGGTGGAGAAGACATAACTATACACTAGGAGAAAAAATATATGTTATAATACAGCCCTAATTTTGATGAAGGGTTTGCATATCGGCCTATTTAAAAAAAATAGCTCTTTTCCAAATGTTTCAATTTGATTCCCAATGGTCGTCATGAATCTCTAGATAATAGAGCATGGAGTCAAGTGGATTCAGTAACTTTTAATGTGTCAGATTCTACAAAAACCCAATCTGCTTCCATTTAGATCAATGGCAAAACTCCTTTTAAGTTCAATGGGTGTTTTATTAGAGGAGAATGCTCTTAAAAGGATTGCAGGATTTGGTTTAAACTTGGCTTCTTTGTTGATTTAAGCTATCACTTTGCAAAAAGGAAATGCAAGTCCTAGTTCAGGTTGACTATTTCTAGTCCAGTACCTCATTGGTGCCAAATCAGAGAATTTGCCTAACCACGGGAAGTCAGTGTTGTCTAGCAACATTTCCACTGCTTACTGTACTTTTGGAAGACATTTAGGCTATGTCTAGACTGCAAATCTCTCTCAAAAAAGAGCATCTAGACTGCAACTAGTACTTTCAAAAAAGCAAGCCGCGTTTTTGAAAGAGAGCACTCAGGCAGTCTGGATGCTCTCGTTCAAAAAAGCAGTTTGCATTACATAGCACTTTTTTTCTAAAGAGCACTTTCGAAAAAAGGTGTTCTTCCTTGTAAAACAAGGTTTTCTGTGGTCGAAAAAAGTAAATCGAAAGAACGCGGCGGCAGTGTAAATGCAGGGGAAGCCTTTTCGAAAAAAGGTCACTTTTTTCAAAAAAACCCTGTAGTCTAGACACACCCTTAGGGGCAAATTAAAGCTAAATAACAGCACAGAAGACTGAAAGCCGTGACTGGTGGCTGTAAACAAACTATGGAACTAGGGGAAACTTAGCTACAGATATGATAAGTGCACATCTGGCTAACTAAATTCATGCTGGAACACGAATGATGCCGGACCAGAGTGTGCTGGATTAGAGAGGTTCAATGTGTACCAGTCAAGACAGAGGACATAGCCTCTAGATAGCAGCCAACTCTTTCCAGCTAAAGATAGTTCTCTGGTCCTTTTAAAATTAATAGCAAACACCCATTGATTTCACTGGGACTGAGTGATTGAGATTTATTTTGAACATCCTGCCTTTTCTTGGTGTAAATCTCATCTTTAACATAGCTGTATTATTTTTCATTTTACAAGAAGCTATTTATTTTGAGTCAGCATTATATTGGTCTTTGCAGAAAGTGTGGCTAACTTGTTGCCATGTTCCATCAGACATATTCTGAACATACATTTTGATATTTCTTTGACAAAGGCTTTATACCCGTGGTCCCCAACACGCTGCCCGCGGGCGCCATGGCGCCCATGGGCGCCATGGCGCCCGCGGGCAGCGTGTTGGGGACCACGGGTATAAAGCCTTTGTCAAAGAAATATCAAAATGTATGTTCAGAATATGTCTGATGGAACATGGCAACAAGTTAGCCACACTTTCTGCAAAGACCAATATAATGCTGACTCAAAATAAATAGCTTCTTGTAAAATGAAAAATAATACAGCTATGTTAAAGATGAGATTTACACCAAGAAAAGGCAGGATGTTCAAAATAAATCTCAATCACTCATATTACATGTGTTATGGAAGTTCATTACATAGTTGTTAGGCATCTGCATTAATAGACATGATGGCAAGCGTAAAGCCTTTATTGATTTTCCTGGCTCTAAATTTGTCTTGTCTTTAACATTAATAAGACAGACCTTTTGTTTCATGTGTGTGCGCACTTAATTGCTTTATATTTTAACATCAGTAAAACAAACAGAAAAATCTCATTAAAATTGTGCTTTGTCTGATCCCTGTAATTCCAGTTTTTATATTTTAATTTTTTTTTCATTTCCTATTTTTTGAATTCATAGACATTTGCATGTTACTTACTTTTTGAAAGCAACCTGGCCAAAAATTGTTCATGATTAGCCAAGGAAACCATGGATTAAAACAAATGACTACAATCCTATTCTGTCAGAATACTTAGTATGAAAATGCTAGTATAAACAATGTTAATGTTGTAATGTTTTAGGTATCTAAAAGGGTGTCACAAGGAGGAGAGAAAATTTTTTTTTCTCCTTGGCCTCCGATGATAGGACAAGAAGCAATGGGCTTAAACTGCAGCAAGAGAGGTTTATGTTGGACATTAGGAAAAACTTCCTAACTGTAAGGCTGTGTCTAGATCGCAAGTTTTTCCGCAAAATCATCTGCTTTTGCGGAAAAACTTGCCAGCTGTCTACACTGGCCGCTTGAATTTCCGGAAAAGCACTGACGATATCATGTAAGATCGTCAGTGCTTTTCTGGAAATACTATGCTGCTCCCGTTTGGGCAAAAGTCTTTTTCTGAAAGACTTATGCGCAAAAGGGCCAGTGTAGACAGCACAGTACTGTTTTCCGCAAAAAAGCCCCGATCACGAAAATGGCGATCGGGGCTTTTTTGCGGAAAACCGCGTCTAGATTGGCCACGGACGCTTTTCCGGAAAAAGTGCTTTTGCGGAAAAGCATCCTGCCAATTTAGACGTGCTTTTCTGAAAATGCTTTTAACGGAAAATCATGCCAGTGTAGACGTAGCCTTCGGGTAGTTAAACACTGGAATAAGTTGCCTAGGGAGATTGTGGAATCACTATCTCTTGAGATATTGACCATCTCTTGGGATGGTCTAGACAGTATTGGGTGCTGCCGTGAGGGCAGGGGGACTGGATTCAATGACTTCTCGAGGTCCTTTCCAATTCTAGTGTTCTATGATTCTAACATAAAACTGTTGTAAATGT